TATATATATATTTGTTTCTAGACAGTGAGCCCAACCAGGCAATTTAGAGTACATTTGTGCAATAAATTCTCCATGTTGAGCCCATTTTTTAAGGGCTTTGGATTTGGAGGATGAGTCTCCTCATGTTCACCTCATCATCATGAGGTTGTAGGATCCATGGATACAGGGAACCACATTGGACACGAGAGTTACAGTACTACTGCTAATGAGTTGTAGTGGCTTGCCAAAGTTTTGAACCACTTATAGTCATTTCTTAATCTGCCTAGTACACTGTGTTGCTTGCCAACCTGTCCTTCTGTAAGTGCCATTATTTTGGGAAGTGCCTGAAATAAGACTTACCATTCTTGACATTGTCATAGGTGAAGATGTGTATGGCATCTTAATTATTTTTTTCTTTTTTGTTAACTTAAGGATATTGTCTTAGCTCTCTGAAAGAATATTATGGGTCATTACCCTCTGTAGATTCATCATAAAGTAATTTTCATAATAGGAAGTAGGCTTTTTGTTAAAATTTCTTTGTATTTTGACTCTGAGTTCTCATTTATTAAAATTTCAACTAAAGATTGTCTCTTGGTACTTAGACCTAAGAGATGAATTGGATATTTCACTCCAACCATAGACTTGAATTCAATATGGTGAATTTTTTTTAAGTGGTAATCTTATAGTAATCTGTGATAGTTTGGACCAGGTGGCCTGTTCTTTTAGCAGCCACATGGCTAGCTATTTGATTATAATAATTATTCTGGTTATGATTCTTTGTGTGTCTAACCATAATAGACACTTCCTTTTGTTTTATTTTGTCATGTTATGCTTATGTTTTCAAATATCTTTGGTGCATGCCACTTAAAAAGAAGCTTTCATTGAAAAATAGTATCTGATGGAGTATTAAAGTAAAGAAAGTAGGTTTATAGCTGAGTCTATGTAGTGGGCTTCTTGATAGTGGATGTTCAACAAGTCTTACTTGATGTGGAAGGAAATGTGGGACATGATTTTCCTGGATACAGAGAAACATAAAGATGCAAGAATTTTGAAAACATATTATAGTTTAAGAAATTTTCTAGATTTAATCTGTTTTCACAGTGGCATTTGCTCTACACACATAACAACCCAAGTTTGATGATTGAGAATCTAGCTATGGAAAGCTTTACAACTAAGTTCTAGTACTCTCTATTTGGACTGTTTTAGTTTTAGTGGATTCTATCCCATTAACTCCAGAAGAGAGGAAAACAGATATGGATTAGAAAGATGATGTTGAATTTGAAAAGTTAGCAGACTGGAAATAATTATATCTAAAACCTTTTTTCTTAGTACAATGAAATGATAATATGATAGGTTCGATCAATACTGGGAGATAGGAAGGGCTGAGTAATAAAACCATCCTAAAAACAGTTATACATTCTTTTCACAGTCTGACTGCCCATACTCAGAAAAGGTTCCCAGTATTAAAATCCCAATGGACATCATGGAACAGCAGCCTTTCCTAAGTGATAGCAAACCTTCCGACAGTGAGTAGAACTAACCTCTTGCATGCTTGCTTGAGTATGATTTACACCTGCAGAGAAGATATTTTAGAGATGTCATCTACATTCACTTCCCCTCTTTCTTTTTTTCTATGAATATTTATACTTAATTCTTATAAAACATTACTTTTACATTCCCTAAACTTGACTCTTAACTTCTTCCTTTTATCCATAACCTTTAAGTTTTCATTTGGTAATCTTCTCTCTTCCCCAAGGCATCATCATTTTTTTTCCAATTGCTAAACATATAACCATGTTTTTAATTGATTTTTATTTTTATTTCCCACTGATATTTAGAGTTGCAGCTTATAGTACTACATCACTGTCTGTTACTGTTTGTCTTCCTTAGGTTTCAACCAATGACCAAATCTTCTCAAAAGAAATTACATCTTGGATCTCTCAATGATTAATGAATGAGTTATTAATATTTAGAATTTGGCAAAATTGGTATTTTCAATTAAATTGACAATCATAAAACATTAGCAAAACTCTTTTTCTTGCTGATTTCCTGATTTCTTTATTCCTCTTCTGCTATTTCAAAATCATCTCTGTAACTGGCTCTGATCTTCCAGGGGTGATAGCCTGGTGGCTACAGTGTAATGGTTTGTGACATGTCATCTTTTCTTTTGTAATTGGGTTAACAGGCCACTCTGTGAAGACATTAGTGAATATCTGAAGCTTTTGCAATAGCAAGTAGCAGTTGCCTCTGTACTGCTTTCCACTTTGAGTTCTCATTTGAAGAAAATGCATTCTTTTAGATCCAGATACACTTCAGAGTTTGTTGATCTGTTACAGGAAAAGAGACAGTTGAGACACTTTTATATATAGTTAATAATGCAACTTCAACTTCAGTAGAAGGTTAGCAATACCAAAAAGAGTTTGAAATGAATGACAGTTCATAAAATTTGGGTGTATTAGTTACCAATTGCTGAGTAATAAATTACCATATAACTTAGCAGCTTAATACAACAAACTTTTATTTTCTCACAAAGTTTCTGACACCCAGAAATTTAGGAGCAGCCCATTTGTTAATTCTAGCTCAGAGGTTTTCAAGAGATTCCTTACCAAACTGTCAGCTGGGACTGAGTCTCTGGAGGCTTGATTGCAGCTGGGGATCTGCTTGAAAGCTCCTTCCCAAGGCCTGTGACAGGAAGTTTCAGTTCTTCAGCCTGTGGGCATGTCCATAGAGCTACATGTGATATGGCTACCCCCAGAGCCACTGACAGAAGAAAAAAACCAAGATAGAAGCTATAATCTTTTACAATCAAATTTCAGAAGTGACAAACCACCACTTCTGCCATTTTCTTTTGGTCATATAGACTAACTCTGTTGCAATGCAGAAGGAATTACACAAGTACATAAATACCAGGAGATGATAGGGATCATTGCAAACCTTGGAGGTTGACCATCACTCTAGGTTTAAAGAACAAAGAATTAAAACAGTCTTACTTTTGTTGTCCAACTTGTAACTATATTTTGTAACTAAGGCTAATTTTCTGCTCACTCTTATCAATGGGATTTGATTAAGAATTTTCTTTCTTATTTGAAGCCACCCAAACCATGTTCTGAGTTCATTTTTCATTTATAGGAAATTAATGTCATAGGAAGACAAACATACATGTGTGTAATGTGTTTGTCTTTGGTTGGCATAGCCCCTTCTAAATACTTAAAAAAAAAAATCACCAGACAGAGTTTCAAATTTTTGTTAAATTTTGTGGGCCAGTTGTTCTTCATCCTCTCAAAAACTCTACATCAGTATAAACTGAAAGTTAATAGTGATATTGGAAGTTTACCTGAGCAAAATACACCATGAAAGAACAAAAGCTGGATTGCTTTCTAAGTACTTCAAGAATCCCTCTCTCAGCCCCACCCCATCCCAAGTAACAGCTAGAGAAAATAGTGAATGTTGAAGATGGAAGGAAATTCCAGGGCAAGCATCAGACATTCATAAGATGCTGTCATCTTACAGAAATGATTCCCCTCTTGCTTTTCTTATCATAATGACAGCAGTGATCCTTCCCAGAAAGCCTATGTGGAGGAAAGGAAGAGATTGAGACTTAGTTTGGTATATTGTTTATTGGAATTCTCTAAATTTATCTCTCTTACTCTTTCCAGTTGTGAAAAATGCATCAATTTTTATGAAGATTTTAATTTTCACTCCAATATTTCACGTTCACACAGTTCTATTACTTTTGATTTAAAATGTGTTTTTCTTTCCAGGAGAAAGATCCTCAACATTCCTTGAACGCCACACATCATGCTGATAAAATTCCTTTCCTTCAGTCACTCGGTATGCCAAGGTAAAGGAGAGTCCAGTGTTTTGCCGTGTTTGTGTGACGATTACCCCACAGACATGCAGTCATTGGCGGGTTATTGGCAGAACTCCCTGTTCTCTTTCCTCTCTCTGATTTATCTCACATAAATTACCCAAGAACCAAAACTTACCCCAGCTTTTACTAGTAGAAAGACCTCTAAGAGACCTGCTTACTCTTAGAAATAATGGAATCTTTCAGTATCATTAAGTTAAAGTCCAGGATCAATATTAGCTCTTATAATTTCAGTGTCCTGACTGATTTAAGGGTAACTGACATTTCCTGGCATCTCTCATCCAGTTGTTTCCTTCCCTCTAACAAGACTCGGGAGATGACAGGTCCAACTGTGGAGTCTCAAGAGATTGGAAGCTCTGAATATTTTCAGCATATATTAGTCTTATTGTCCTTTAATTTCAGACATATTACCCTCTAGGTACTTCCTCATTTTGTCCTTTGGTATGTGGTTTTTTAAAATATAGGTATCAGATCTTGTAAATTTTTATTTGGATTTCTTAACTCTATTGGCACATGAATCCCATTAACAAAAATATCTGTTTTTAATATGCAAGGAGGAGATAAGGATTAAAGAGAATGAAGGTTGACGTGTTTGAATTCTGTATGATTAAAAAATATTTGACAGATGATAGAGAAAATCAGACTGACTTACTATTTCTTTTCTTTCTTTTTTTTTTTCTTTAGTCCTCCTAGAACTCCAGTAAAAGTTGTGCCTCAAATTAGAATAGAACTTGAGCCTGAAGACAATGATTATTTCTGGAGGAGCAAGGGAACAGAAACTACATTGTAACCCGTTCGTCTCTCTTAGAACTGACAGTTTTGTTGTTAATGTTCCTTTTATTCCCCACCCACCTTTTGTCTGTTTGTTTATTTTTAAATTTTTGTTTTGTTTCAGTTTTTGGTCACTGGCCAAATAATACAACACTTTTCTCTGCTTCTCTCTTGCATAGGTTAAATCAAGACAATAGTGCACCATTCCCTAAAAACAGCATCTGGGGAATCTCCCTTTTGTTCTTATGTTTTAGATGTGTCCTCTGACATCCTAATTCCTGTCACTCAAGACAAACGCACAGATCCTGTCCTTTTCCTTTATTAAGCAGAGGTCAAAAGTATTAAGATTTTATAACAACTTTTATTAAAATATTGAAGGAACTTAAAACTTTAGCTTTGGAGCTGTGCTTACTGGCTTGTCTTTGTCTGGTAGAACAAACCCTGCCCTCCAGACAGAGTCCCTTCTTGCTTATAGAGCTCCCCAGGACTGGAAAAAGTGCTGCTATTCTAACTTGCTCTTGCTTATAAACCCTAATCTTAGAGTTATCAAAAGAAGAAAAACTAAAGGTACTTTACTCCCTATAGAGAAACCATTGCCATCATTGTAGCAAGTGTTGGAATGTCCCTTTTTCCTATGCAACTTTTTTTAACCCTTTAATGAACTTATCTGTTGAGTACATTGAAGAATATTTTTCTTCCTAGATTTTGTTGTTTAAATTATGGGGCCTAACCTGCAACTTATTTTTTGTCAATTTTTTAAACTTTTTTTTAATTACTGTAAAGAAAATGAATTTTTCCTGCAGCAGGAAACATAGTTTTGAGTAGTTCTACCTCTTATTTGTAGCTGCCAGGCTTTCTGTAAAAATTGTATTGTATATAATGTGATTTTTACACACACACACACACACACACACACACACACACACACAATCTCTAAGGTAAGCCAGAAGGCTAGATCAGATAAAAACACCATGTTTCTAAGCATCCATTTTCCCCTTTCTTTAAAAGAAATTTAACTGTTCAATGAAGGAGCTTGAGGAAAGGAGAGAAATTCTTACACAATGGGGTAACTGATATCCTTCCTGATAATGGTAGTATATGGGCACGGATGCTGATTGTATTACCATGTCAATGTCCTATGCAGTATTGTTAGGCATTTTTAAATTCTGAAATATTTGTGTGTTTGTGTATGTGCTCTGTGTGTGGCTGGTGCACATACGTGCAAAGTTAGAAAAAGACAGCTTGACAGTAGACAGAGGGCAATGTTATCAAATCTCTTGTGTCAGTTTTCATAAAATCCAAACCACCTATGAAAAATTCACCAGAGGGTCCATGAAACTTGCCATTATGCAAATAGGGTAAGCATATGTTATTACCCAGACATTAGTCATATAGCAGCCCATGTTTATAATAAAAAATCCATAAGAATATTAACAGCCCATTTACATACCTATAAAGTATTATAGGAATACAGATAAGTCCATAGAGATAATTTGATGTACACATACTATAATAATGCACACATTCATTGGGGATGCAAAGAAATTATTCTTTGTGATTGGGACACTTAGAAAGTGTACGTATATATGCACATATATACCTATTTGTGTTTCAAAGTACCATATTGAAAATTAGACCTTTATTAATCAGATTGAACATGATGTTTACAGGTAATATTTTCATTGTTACATTATATATCGAATGTATTTTGAAAAAGACATTCTACATGATGACTTCGTACTTTTGGATTCCCATAACCATGATTGTGATGTATCCTCACCATACCAAGTTTTTGGAGGAGTACAAGAAGCAGAATGAAATCTCTTATTTTGGTTTCATAATATGCATTTATTGACCCCCCACATATTCCTATATTAATTAAATTGTAATCCTGCCTTTTTGAAATTTTCATTATAAAAAATTTATTATCCTGAGTTAGATGTTACTTTTGTAGTATCTGGTCATCTTAAACCTTTTAATTTTATACCAATGGGACATAAATTATACTAATATTTTTCATTGAAATCACAGTGGCAAATCACATTTTATTGTATTAGAAATTCAAAGGTTATATTTTGGCATTATGTTCGTATTTAGAGCTAACCCTAAAATGATGATTCTATATTATCTAGTTTTCTGTTATCCTAAGTTAAAACTGTGTAAGAAGCCTTACTCATAACATGTTTAAAAGCTGCATAGTAAATTCAGCCTAACCCTCATAATGGCAAATTAAAGACACACCTGTTTATTTTTATAGAAGTTCTAGATGTAATGATATTTTTTCTCATTGTGCATCAAAGCAACTTAACTCATCATTGTAGAGGGAAAAACTATCTATAGTCCCACTGAGGAGCCCACTTATTTTGTGACCGGTTAGAGGGTTGGTATTCATGATGTGAACACAAAACAGCATCTTTCATCTACTGCAAGGACCAGTTTGTGTCAAAGGTTTTTATAGTCATCACTTTAAGAGGAACTGAGGTAGTTACCACACTAGTAAACAGAACCCAAGGTCCCTGTGAGCCCTCAGGTTATCTGAATTCTAACTGAATTTACTCATTGCCTAAGAACTAACCAGATTTTTGGATGGTTTTTGTCTCTATGTAAACTGGACACAGTAAATATTTTATGAAGTACTTCTTTTCTCCCTCATGTGAATTTAGATTCATGTTTTACAGTGTCTCCAAGAGATGTTCTCTCAAATTTACATTTGAGAGAACATCTCTTGGAGACACTGTTTTCCTTGAGAAAAGTCATTCTCTCTACTATTGGTAACAACTACTTGGAATCCTGTTGATTTTCTGTGCTGTGGGCAGCATTGTTCCTGCCCCTTCTCCCAGTCAAGTTTGAGGGGTGGGTCTGTGGAGGGACATAACTGATTTGAAAAAGCCAGAAGACAAACACCTCCCTCTTCAACCCCAACCTGAAAGAATAGGGGGAAAAATTTGTCTGCTGTCCGCAATTCAATTTGTGTGTATTTAAAGCACGTGCAGCAACACACACAGAGCAAATCTTTTATCAGCTATGTATTGGTGTTTCGTATAGAGAATGATTGTCTTCCGAATTTTTGGTTCTTTTATTTTTAACTGTGTTGAAGTACTTGAAATGTATTGACTGCTGACTCTCTTTAAAAAACAAAACCATTTGAGTTGTATTACAGAGGTTGACATTGTTTAGGGATGGGACAAAGCTTTCTTCAATCCTTTTCATACCACTTAATGATTTTGGTGCAGGAACTTGAGATTTTCTTATTTATATTCCATGATATTTCACATCTGCTCTCACAGGATAAGCAAGAAGCCCAGTGGCACCAAGTGGCTAAATACAATTTTAAAAAATAGCAGCACTTCACTTTCTGAAGAGCTTCATGAATTTTCAGATTATGATTTCATTGAACTTCATTGTAGCCCAAAAAAACAAAAACAAAAAGAAACCTTTTGTAACATATACTCATCAATCAAGTTGTGTTTTGACCAGAGGTTTGGATATATCTCATTTGCTGGCTCATATTGTTGTGCTCTATGGGTACATACAAAACTCCTGAATTTTGTTTTCCTAGGCAAATATTGCAACTCAGGGCTAAAGTTACCCAGTGAAACTTTTAGAGCCAGAAGTAACTTTGTCCCAGTCCTACAATGTGAAAAGAATGAGTAGTTGCCTCTTTTTAGCCGTTTTCATGGCTGGTACATATCTGTACACATTACTTTTCAGAATCAATACGCACTTTCAGATATTCTTATTTTTATTCTCTCAAGTCTTTATTAACTTTGGAGAAATGATGCATCTTTTTATTTTAAATGAAGTTGATCAACATGGTGGAACAAAATGATAAAGAACAGAAAACATTTCAATATATTACTAATAATTTTTTCCAATATAAAACCTAAAATTCCTATAACATTATAGTATTTTACAGTTTTATGAAGCTTTCTATTGTGACTTTTATGGAATTATGAGATGAAGAAGATGAGATATTTTAGCATTTATATTTTTCAAAATTAAATGTATACTTAAAATAAAGTTAACTTTATGCATTTATGAGTGTCAAGTGCTTCTCTTTAACTCTTCAACTCTTCGACTAATTGTCCAATGACTATTATTTTGTTCTTTGCGGTGTTGCAGAGATGAGTAAGTCAGAGCCCTCACCACCTCCCCCCTCATATTTCTTTAATCCCTTCAGGCTGAAGGATAAAGTAAGTGTCCAAATTATATGAGATTGTTAAGAATTACCTATTTAAATGTTAATGAACTGCTCTCATGCAAAGGTTCAAAGTAAGAAGAAAAAAGTGTCAAACTAAGAATAATGGGAACTATTTGATGGAGTAGAAATATTTTCACTGTTTGTTTTATAAACTTAGTGAAATGTAAAATACCATCTTCTTGAGTCTAGGATGATGCATATACTCACTCTTCCAAGTAAACAAAACACTGCTAAGCTTAAGCACTTATTAGGAAATAATTACTCAAACGAACAAAATCTCAGGATGGCTTTCAGGATATGTATCACACACACCTTTACTGGGTCTACCCAAGCTTCCATCTGATATTTATGATTCCCTAGGGAACTTCACTGAAGCCAAGTTATAATCAGAGTGGTGCTGGTGGTGGGTGGAGCAAATGGAAGACGGGATAAATATCCATTGATGGTAGTAAAAGTTACATTGGAAAAAGTTACACTGGAAAAAATTGAGGAAGGGCCTTTGGCTTAAGCAACTTGGAAACCCAAAGTAGAGACAATAGCTTTGAGCCTTTGGGTACTACTACTACTGGTGGTGAGAATGCGCAGCAGAGAATGGAATGTGGATTTTACCATGGAACTGAAAGAAGCAGCAGAAGCCACACTAAAGATAGATCATAATAAGGGAATTTTTGATTATTTTTTAACCTACCCACAAATAATTCATTATATATTATTATGGGTAACAATCACTGAGACAACAAATCAGGATCAACTTACATTTAGTAAATTATTGCCAACCCAAATAACAAAGAAATTCTCCAAAGAATGATTTTTTTTTTTTTTTGGAGAATAGTATAGCATTACAGAAGGAATATGTGTGCCATTGTAAACTATGAGTGTATTTAAAGAAGTTGATGTAAGAGGGAGTTTTAGAAAGGAAAAATGAAGAAGCTTACATAAGATATTTTGAAACAAGAATCCTTTGCCATAAGATTAGTAACGAGGTAACTCCAGTCTGAAGTTGAACAGTTAGTTGCTGGGCAGGTATCCTTGAAGAAGTATTTCCTGAGTAATGTTATGGCAGCATTGTACAAGGGTGTGGTTCTGACAAAATCATTTGAGAGTTACTATCAGGCAATTGTCAGGAGAACCTTCCTCCATAACATCCTGGCTTGCTTTATTTATTTATTTTGTTAAGATTGACACAAGCAACTTCACTTTGATTCTGACAGATTTCACATTAAGAAAAGGAATGTAGTTTTCCATTTCTGTGACTCTTCATTATTCTACCTGACCTTCCTGACCTCCCTGATAACTAGGAAGTAAAATACAGAAATCTCTAAGCTACCAACCATCTGGCTCAAGACCTAGGCAAGAGTTCAAAGCCTCACTCAGAATCCACTGACACTTATTTTAAAAAAAAATGTTCGTTTGTAGCTGGGCATATTAGCACATGCCTGTAATCCCAGTGGCTTGGAGACTGAGGCAGGAGGATCCCAAGTTCAAAGCCAGCTTTAGCAACTTAGAGGTGCTATAAACAACGTTCTGAGACCCTGTCTAAAAATAAAATATAAAAAGGGCTGGGGATTTGGCTCAGTGATAAAGCACCCCTGGGTTCAATCTCCCTGGGTTCAATCTGTGGTATTGAAAGAAAAAGCTCATTTGTGGATTTCTAAGAACATAGGAAATGAGAAACAGAATAAAATATTGAAATAGGAAAATTCAGCTAGTCCAGGCAGAAAGAGAAAATATATTAAACACACACAGACACACACACACACATACAAAAGAACCTGTGGGGGCTGGGGTTGTGACTCAGTGGTAGAGCGCTCGCCTAGTAGTGTGAGGCACTGGGTTGGATCTTCGGCACCATGTAAAAATAAATAAATAAAATAAAGGTATTGTGTCCAACTAAAAAAAAAAATACTTAAAAACACTGTATAAAATATACTCAAAAACTTAAAACTCAGGTTATTTAGTAAGAGGCAAGGATGCTACAGTAGGTCTTAAAGGTAAAATGTATTGATTTCAAATTGATTGAAATCTATTGATGAAATGATTAAGTTGATTAAATGTCTTAAAGGTAAAAATTTATTGCAAGTAGTGTTGAGAATGAGCATTTCTAGCCAGGAAAAATTAAGTTATAGTTTATTTTTTGTTCATTCATTAATTTTTAGAAATGAAATGGAGTAGTTGCTGGAGAACCAAAAGTAAGATATGATTCCTAATTTCTAGTAGTATACCATCAAGTGAGAAATACAAGTTGACCAAATAGTGCAATAAAAATTTGTAAATATTATGATAAAAGTATGTGTAAGGTACAGTGATGATCCAAATGGGGAAGTTAACAATTCCTTGTGGGAATAAGAGGCCAAATTGCAGAGAATTTTCTAAAGCAATCTGTGAGTTTGTGTGAGAAAATGTTGGCCAGACGAATGGTGTCTGAAGTGGAATTAAGAATGTAGATAAAGAGATTCCAAATCTGGAAGTTAAAAAATAAAATAGTGCAGACAGAGAATCGCCATGTGCTATGGTTTTAATGTCCCCTCTAAAGTTCATGTTAAAATGCAGTCCCCCTCAACAGTATCGAGAGACAGAACTTTAAGAGTTGATCAGGTCGTCACGGACTCTGAACTCATAAATGAATTAATATTATTATTTCAGGGGTGGATTAGTTATCTTGGAAGTGGGTTTCTGATAAAATGGATGAGTCTGATATGATTTCCTTTCTAGTGTGTACTTGTTTGCCCTTTTGTTATGACATAGCAAGAAGTCTCTCACCAGATGCAGCCCCTTGATCTTAGATTTCCCAGCCTCTAGAACCAAAATCCAAGTAAATCTTATCTCCTTATAAATTAACTGGACTGTGATGTCCTGTTATAACAGAGTAAAATGGACTAAGACTATTCATTCGGTCAATCATAATGATCAGACATCTCTATATATCAGACTCTTTGCTTGGTTAAAGAAGTGGGAACAAAAAATAGACATAGTCCTTGCTCTAATGAAAGACGTGATCCAGAAGAGCGTATACAGTGAGTGAATGAGTAAATAAAGTAAATATAGAATTGTGATAGGTGTTGTAAAGGAAAAGGATGGTGGGAACACAAGAATAACAAGGACCTAATGGATATCGAGTGGGCTGGGAAGTGATAGTTGAGTGGAAACCTGGAGTATGTGTGGAGGAGCTAGGTGGGCAGTGAAGGAAGGTTGGCCTAGGCAGAAGAAGAACCACTCAATGAAGATTGAAGGAGCCAAATGAGGAAGAGAATGTTGAATGTTCACAGGACAGGGAACCTCTGTGTAGCCAACTATCAATGTAGTAGGAGTAACCACTACATGCTCACTGGTTAGGAGCTCATGGTTGGAGTGGAGAAGGTTTGAATGAGGCTGTGCAGAAATGAACAATAACAGAGGAAACAAGGTCCAGAATGTGTCCCCAGCCTATCTGCAGTG